AATGCAGGAAATCACAGAAAAATACCACTTCACATCTACCAGTGGCCAAAACAAAGAAGACAGACAAAAATAAATGAGGATGTAGAGAAATTAGAATCCTCTTATGCTACTGACAATAGCATAAARTAGTGAGTCCACTTTGGAAAACAAAAAGTTAAAGGTATCATATGATCTAGAAATTCCACTTGTATGTGTATATCCAAATAACCTAAAGCATATGTTCACAAAAATACTTGAACAAAAATGTTCATCTTTGAAACCACTATGCTAACTTTAAAAAGCCAGCACAATAGGTCACATGTTGTACAGTTCCATTTATATGAAGTATTTAGAAAAGACACATGCATACAGATAAAACACAAGTAGGTGGTTGTTGGGGACTGGTGTGCTGAGGAAGGGATATGAGTACTTCTAAGGGGCATGATGATTTTGGGGGGGCAGTGCTGGTGATGATGAAGTTCTGGAATTATATAGTTATTATGATTGCACAGACTTGTGAACATATTAAAACAATTGAATGTAACACTTTAACAGGTTTAACTTTATGCTATGTGAATTATACCTCAATTTATCAAAATAGAATAGGCAGGAATATTCTATGGTTTTGTATGAACAAGAACAAATCCTAGGAGAGGTTTTTCAAGATGGTGGAATAGAAAAGGTTGATTTCCTGGCTGCTCTGTAGCATGAAGCCAAGAAAACAGATAGGCAGCTTCTCAGCAAGATGGGTGAACAACAGCAATGAAAAGGAGGGGTGAGCCTTTACTGGAATTTAAAAATGGACATTCAAAGCAGATTGGGGACTCAGAAGGTTGAATATAATAAAATAAGGCAGAAATCCCCAGCACTACAGCCGCTGCTGCACCCAGAGGCACCAGCCAGGGTGGTTCCTCTGTGAGCAAAGTGGAGGGATAAGGGAGTTAAAGGAACATGCATTTTTAGAAGTTCTGAGGCATTTCTTGGTACAGAGAGTTTAGCAATCAAAGATACTGTCAGACTAAACTGAAAGATGCTCTCTGCTCAATATCCGTGTGTGGGAAAGAAGCTGACTCTCTCCTGGCTGTGTGTGGAGGACAGAGGACAGAACCATTTTGCAGCCATAGTGCAGAGGCCAGCAGCTGGGGGACGGGGCAATTCCTGGAAAACCTGAGTTTGGCCCAAAATATAGGCCTGGCAAACACACACTTCACAACAAAGTGTGCCCCTAAGTGACCAGGAGAACACCAAACGTGGAAAGATATTTACACAGTGGGCAACTGGTCTTGAAAAACACCTAGCTCTCCACCTCCTCCTCCAATCCTGTTGTTTGTAGGAGCAGCTGGGAGGGACAGACCTGGCTGGAAATTCAAAAGGGTGGGGTGGGAGAAACTGAGTTTGAAGACTGAAACTGAGACCAAGAATCTTGGGGTCTTCGGATAGCAAAATGGACTAAGAATTGGTTCCATACCACATGAGTGGAACCAAGGGAAGATACCTGGGGTGCAGTCTTCCAGCATGGACCTGTAATTGCTGGGCCCAGTAGGTGCACTGATTTAAAATCTTCATAYKCAAATTGGCATTCAGCAAAGAGCCTGGAGCCTACCTATACCTGAATCTTGCCTCCAGGAGTTGGGACTATAGGATTTTCTCTCACTCTAACAACCCTGCCCTGAGGGTGAAAAAAGCATCAATCTCTAGATAACCCTGCTGAGAAAGTAAGCTGAGAATCTTTTGAACTCCAACAGAAACAATTCCTTAAATTTTCATTTAGTTTTTTTCTCTCTCTTTTTTTCTTTTCTGTTTAATTATGACATTCTTGGTTCATGAACATTTATACACATTCATATTTATTCTTTTTCTCATTTCTAGAAATTTTGAAGCCAGTTATTTTTCATGGATCTGTTTGTTTTGAGGATTGGGATGTTTGATTAATATATATTGGTTTTGTTTTGTATTCTTTTATTTTTAGTATTTAAAATTTTTACTTTATATTTTATATCTCATCTGTTTCCCTTGATTCTTTTTCATTTTTCTTCTGCTAACARCCAATTCCTATTGTTCTCTCTTTCACTGTTCCTTTAATTTTTTTATTTCTATTTTCTCTCTTTTTCCCTTATAATCATTACACCCTGTATCACTTCTGTTTTTTCTCCGTCCACCATTCAAAATTGTAAAATTTTTTGCAAACTTACTATTTTTTAATGTAGGCAATAACTGATCATATCATTTCTGTTTATCATGACAATTAACATTGTAAATGTCATAGCAGGAAGTATTTGGTTTAATGCTGTATATTGTTTGCATTAGTTGTTATTATTTGTTTCCCCTTAAGCTGTGAGGTACTGGAAACCTTCAGTATCACTATAAGTTCACAGGATAAAATTACTACTTCTTCAAATCTGTAGTGTTGGATGGGTAGACACATGGACAACACGAAAAAGAARGGGAAGTATGTTAGTTTCCAAATATTTGGGAATATTCTAGATATCTTTCTGGTGTTGATTTTTAATTTAATTGTGTTGTAGTTAAAGAACATATTCTGAATAACTTGAATTCTTTCAAATGTTATATTTTCATTCATTTCAAATTATTTTCTAATTTCCCTTGTGATTTCTTCTTTAATC